GACTATCACCCACATCCAATCACTGTGGCTTGTCCCCTTGTAGGGTTTTGCCAATTTCAATCTTTTCTGTTTCCTAGCTTCTTTTACTGTTTTCTATGGATCTCAATCACCTTATCTTATATTACCTAGTTTGTCTCATACTTATTTTGTTTTCATGTTGGTGGGAGAAGAAATTATGGAATTGTTTTTGCTACACAGTAATCAGACATTTTTATGGAGGACAATGCCTGATTCATGCCACACACTTGAATGTTTTGTTCCAATTTATTTACTGTCAGAGTACCCAGGAAGCAATGATTTTTCTCTCATGGATTTGTTTTGTATATCACCTGATCTCTTGACATTATGCATGAAAATGTGACATCACCCCAGTTAGTCTGACATGGACTGACTACAAACTTTGGGAAGTGTAGGTTTGCTCAGATACCAGAGCAGAGTTCTTGAAGTTAAATTCCTTCTCTAATGACACTGGGGTGTTTTCAATCAACAGATATGAGTCTCCAACAGGGAGAATAGAATACAGGATGCAGAAACTAGAGGATTCCAGAACACTGAATTTCTCCTTCAGTCTTCCAGGATTTCTCTAGGAAGAATTGGCTCCCTTCACCTCAACTCTACTCTTTCTCTTTTGTCTCTTACATACCATGGGAGGTTCTCAGTCATCCTGACAAACTCCCTTCTGGGATTCACTCTCAAACTTTGGAAGCAACTTCTCACAGATTCCCTCAGGAAGAAAGCTCTAGCCCATTTCTGTAATGTAGCATGGTCCCAACATAGATTAGAGGGTAGAGAAATTTGTCCTGAAATAGAAATTTAAATCACAATACTACCCTACAACTAGCTCTTTTCTGTGGAGGGTAAAACAAATGGTCCAAGATGCCATGTGAACAGGTCTTTATATGCCATCAGTGCTCCCTAGGAAGATATAATTTATCCTTTTAGCCCCCATCAACAACTGAGTCTCAAACCCTTCGCATCATGGATATGGCGCCACCTTGTGCTCAGTCACCTAATGTAGTTCCTTCCCAGACTGGGACAACTACCCAACCACAAGCCTATTTACCCTGCCATGCCCAAACCAGCCTCATTGATTCAACTCTAATCTCCCCTGCTCATATGCTAAGAGGTGGCCATGGAAACCATTTAAAAAACATGCCCATACTGACTCCACTTCCCCAGAAAGGACACATTATGCTGGGGACCCATTTTAATGGGCAGTCAGTCCCAGACATTAGAAGGAAGCTCTAAAAGTCAGCACTGGGTCCTCAAACCACTCTGACACAATCATTAGATATAGTCTGTGTGGTCTTTAACAATCAAGATCTAGCAGAGGAGGAAAGATGTAGGGTACAAGATGAGAGAAGAAATCAGAAGCTGATAAGAGGCAAGTCAAGATTTTAGCCATCTTCTGAGGTATTATGATGTCTCTAAGTCACTCAGGAAGCACTTTCAAGATTGCCCCAAGTGAAGGGATTTTCTTTAACTGCAAACAGTTGGGCATTGAAGCAAGGAATGTCCTCAGGATGACAGCTACCAAAATCACTCTGTACCATATGCAAACAAAGAAGCACTAAAAACAGGATGGCCCTCAGCTCCAAAGGGATCTGGAATCAAATCCAGAAGGGCAACTGTTGACTATATCTGACTGAAGCTTCCAAGGGTCCCCTGTGGTCCTTTCCAGGACAATCTACAACACAGAGAAGGAGGCCTGGGTAACTCTGGATGTATCCAATAAACTTCCCTGATTCTTCGTCAGTATGGGCTGGGGCTGTATTTTTAGTTTTTATCGTCTTATCCTGGGCTCTTATTTTCTGACGCATGCACAATTATGGATATTGAGGGAAGGCCTCAACGGTAGAATTTATTGCTTTCTTCTGTGTCTGGAAAGACTAAATAATTACCCATCAGTTTGCCTTTCATATCCTAAACTGCAATTATAGGGTTAACATAGAAGGAAGATTATGGGCTATTTGTGTATTTTCTCTCCCTTCGTCCTTTCCTGTCTTGTACTAAAATAATTTTGTGTTCAAGGTCATTTGGGGTTTTCTTATCTTAACCAACCCTAGCTGGAGTGTAACATCCTATAACTTTTAGACTCATGTGAAGCTAAAGGAAAAATGTGTAAAAAAGTCCTTTTTAAAATCAAAACTATTTAGGAAGGAGAGAGTGGAGCATTGTGATTTAAGAATAGTCTGGCATGTGGTGCGCCTGTTGGAGGGGAAGTTAGAGAGACCCTGTCTCAACCAATGAAAAATCAAAGTGGCAGTAAAGTGTGCATACATAAAACCTGCAACTATGTGTAGACAGATGATCTTAACTTATTTCATTCTATCATGAATGTAGTTTGGGTTAAATAGGTAGAAAGGATCAAGTAAGTAGGATATGAGATATAAAAGTGTTATAAACTAAGAAAGCATTTTTTATATGAAAGGATATGTATGAAATTTGGTTTTGTCCTAAAATGAAGGATTATTCAAAAATGTAATTAGGCAGGTAAGGGCAAAAACAAGAGTCTAAAAGTATATCGTGGAAGTACTATGATAGTGTTTGTGCTGAGATTCAGTATGATGGAGTATGATTTGGGATAAAGCTGTAGATGAAGACTATCCAGAAGATTTTCTGGATAAGGAAGGACTTTGTTTCGTGAAATAAGGTTTTGTCTAAAAGCAAATCTACAAAATGGAAATCAACAGATAAGGGCAAAACCAGAAGACTAAAAAAATATGATGCAGAATGATTATGCAGGATTGTGATGAGATTCAACTGTGAGGAAAACCAGTGCCATCTTGGAATGTTTATGGAGATCTCTGAAGCCAGAACAGCAGTTCACCAAAGCAAGGGAAGATGAGGAGATGTATATTGTGTGTGCAGTTCCTCCCCATCCCCACCCTCCACCCCCATACTAGAAGCAGAGGACATCATGGGATAAGAAACCTCCTCCAAGCCCCTCCTCTCACAGATGGCCAAAGTTGTGTGCAAGTAAGGGCTGATATGAGGTGACCAGAGGCGCCACATTAAACCATAAGTGTGTCAGTCTTCTACTAATGTTCACCACATGGGCTCTAGCGGATACAGAGGCAAAATGGACCCTAATTCATGGCAATTATCCCAAACATAGAGGGCAATGGAAAACTGTAGATGACTATTGAGATGGGACAATGCAATGAAAAAAATGGGTGGAAGTAATTGTCACCAATAGTCCTGCTCAACTATGAACCCCATGTGCTACTCTATCAGCATACCCTTCAGAATTGGCCACCAGTGCAATGGTGGCATGACTAGTATGGGTGCAGCCAATTACAATTGAATCAGATCTTTGGCCTGCCCCATGGAAAGGGACTAATGTTTGCTACTCTAAGGCAGGGCAGAAAACTGTGCCTGGGAAAGTTGAAAGCCCCAGAAAGGAATCCACCACCATTGTCTTGTAAAATGAAAGTCATATGCCAATAAAACTGCCATCTAAACACTTGAGCTTGCTTCTATGGATTACTGCTACTGCCAGTTACAGTCAAAGGGAACCTCTTGCAATAGGTGACCACAGCATCAACTGACAAATCAGACTGGGCTTCAAAAGTTTCACCTACAAATGATGGGATTGAAGCATGGTTTAATACCGCCCTACCAAATGGTAGAATATCTGCTTACCAAGACCCTCAGCTCAGACCCCAGTACTGGCAAAAAAAAAAAAATCACCTACAAATGATGGTGTGCCAATACCACAGAATGAGCATCATCAACAACCAGGATCAGGTTACCACACTGTTCTATCCCACCATCTCAATCTCAGCCATCACTTCTAATAGACAGCAAAGAGAAAACGGCCATTGTTCCTGTTCAGTAAAAGTAGTTTCTGAAGAAGTGACCTACAGCCCTCCCCCTTATAAGAATATTAGAGTCCACACTGCTTAAGGGGGGAATGACAAGGGATTAGGAAGGAAGTTAGGAATTCTGATGGCTAAGAATTGTGCCTTGGATATTGATTAAAAAAAAATATCACATCATGTCCCAAGTTCAAGCCCAGTTCTGGAAGAGTTAATGAGATTCTATCTCAAACACACATTCAAAGAACAAAAAGCCTGGGGGCATAGCTCAAGTGGCAGAACATTTGTCTAAGAAGGGTGAGGTCCTGGAATCAATCCCAAGAACCCTTTCCCCAAAAATCATATTCTGGCCCCACTGATGTTGACAGAATGACTTGTGATACACAGCAGGATCTTGCTGACCCACAGCCTCCATAGCCTGCAGAAAATGACAACCCCTGTTTGATCATCATGGCCAAAGACTCACCCACCCGACAAGTGGGAGGAGTCAGGATGCACAATCCAGTTGTCTAGGAATAACGACCTCCACATGTCCACAGACCCCAAGAAATGGTTGAGGTCATAAGAACCTCAAGGAAGTCCTCTTTTTGCACCTGCCCTCTTTTCCCACTTGAGAGTGTACTTTCACTTTGTTTTGCATTAATAAAGCTGCCCTTGCTTAAATCTCCTGTGTCCCTCCTTGAATCTTTCTCGGACAAGATCAAGAACCTTCTGGCCCCCAGCCTGATAACCTGGATCTCATGATTATAAGACACAAAATCTTTCCAAATCCATCAGCAAAGTTCAAGTTTGTGGCTTTATGTATATCAAACTTAAGAATATCAATAAAAGCATTTGGGCCCATTCTAGGTAACTAGTGTTAGGCATTGTGTAAGATGAATTATTATGGACAGTTAAACTGATAAATATTTTAATGGTAATTTTAAATGAATAGCATTAAAAGGCAATAATATAATCAGACTGTTAATAAAGAAGACAAAAAGATGTTTTGCATAAAAATATTGTTAACAGAAACTATAATAATGCAAAGAATATTTCTTTCATACCAAATGAAAAATACAAGTATTAAAATTGATTTATCATATTCTGATAGTGGGGCAGGGGCAGAAAAAGGCATCAGCAAAATGTCATTAAGAATATGTATGAATTCTGGATGTGTTATACACAATTATCTTCATCTCAGCAAAATTCAGCAATAGATCTTCTGGTACAACCAACTTGGCAGCACCTCTGGCCCAATAACATTTCAGACTGTCTCTTTTTTCGAGAATGAGTGTCTAAGCCTAAGTATTTTAGTTCTGAAGGACTGCTGTCTTCTGCTTCATCTTGTCTATTATGAAAATTTTTCTTAAACTCTTCAAAGCTAAGATTTGAATCCTTTAGTACAGGTACATACTCTTGCTGCCGCTCTAGTAATAATGACCGTCTCTCCGATAGCATTGCCTTTGGCTCCTGTGGCAAATTTGGAATGAATTCCAACATCATATTTAAGGGTTTTGCATCTTTGTTGGTGTAGGATGGCACAATTTCTGTTAAGTTAAAAAAAAAAGTGGGAAGGGGAAAAGAAATGTTCACATCAAGGAGCAAAAGAAAACAACTGTTAGTAAAGACAAAAAGAAAAGCATTTCCTCAACATAATTAAACACTGGAACAGAATGAGCAAGTACTCTAAGATCTAAATAATCTAAGTTACCTATAATTGTACTACAATCTTACCAAGGTTCTGCTTTACTCCATTTGGCCCTCTGTCATTTCTTCATCATCTCATCATTGCTTTTATCATAGTCACTTTCATTCTTTGACATTTTACTGAACTCATGTTGGTCATTGAAAACACTCATTTTGATTACAAATGAACGTTTTACCTGTGTAAATTTCACCATTGCTGACAAACTTCTGAGTTATGATAGTAATCCTTGAAAAGAATTTTCATTATTTTAAGCTATCAAATGTTCCATGGAGGCAAGTTACTTCTTCAGGATAATGTAAAAAGGCAAATTTTCCAACAGCTCAGCTCAGGTGTAACCAACAGGGGTTATAAATCTCTGGTATATTTCAATCTATTTAACAATCTCTCTTGCCCAGGGTGTTTATATCAAGTAGTATTGTACATTAAAGACAAAAATGGATTAAAAGAACACTAATAAAAATCGCAGGCTTAGAGGCAAGATTAGTATCTTCTGTGGTGTCTGTGTACTAAGTTTGCATGATGTTTGTTCCAGTTCTGTGGACAAACTGGCCACCATGCTGGTTGAATATAAATGCTGGACTGGGAACTACAGGAATCAGCTGACATCTGCCCTCTTCTTTGTTCACAGTCAGTCAGTTGAATATTTGCTGGATGTTTCCATGTCCCTGGCACTGCCAATTAGGAGATTTTAATAAAAAAGAAACATCTCCTGTCCTCAAAAATCTTTTCAGTCACATGAACCCTCCCCCAAATTTTATCTCTACCAATTACACAACTGAAGAGTTTTAGCACACCAAGAAATTAGAAACACTAATGAAATTTAAATCATAGTGTAAACCTGGATCCATTTCTGCTTCTCTTCTTCATAGATACCAAAAGTATCCTTGAGCTTAATAAGGCATTACTCATGAAATAATGGAAACAAAGAAGCCAAAAGATACAGATGTCTTTGTGAAAGACAGATTAACCATTAGAGGTTAACCAGGAAGGCACAAGGCCTACTATTCAGAGAAAACAGAGTCCCTTCACCCAAACATGGTGGTCCTGGTACTGATGTACTTCAGGAGTCCTGCCACAAGAGTTTCAATTGTCCTCAGTTTAACTAACAACAAACTTCAACAGCTGTAGTTTGGCAGAGGAAAAATACTAATACTATATCCATTTGTCTTTCCTCCTAATGCTCCCTCTCATTCAAGTTCTAAATTAGCAATAACAGATTTGATATATGTCAGAAGCTTTGGCTTTTTACCTCAGTAAGACATTCTAAGTTTAATTCACTTTACTTATTATAAACCTCTCCTTGCTGTAACTTAAACTTTCTCCAGAGGGGGCATTATTTAATGCCAAGAAAATCTCATGAGAACTTTCTATATTCTTAAATCCAGTAAATTAATGAACCAAAATAGTTGTTGTTTGTATTAAGTTTATTCATAGGCTGTGTGGTCTGCAGTCTTTCAAGTTATTTTGAAACTTATTTTGAAACATTTTGTAAACCACAATATTTTTAATTTATGGAGTCTAAACTCAAATATAATATTCTAATCTATCTGAATTTATACAAACACACACCTCTTAATCACTGTATTTTGGACTCAAACCTCATTTATATACACCTCTTCTAGCTAAAAATATATATATCTTATTTTTTAAAGGGATGCAGTGAGTGTCATCTTGGCATACATTGTGGGATAAAGTGGTTCGCTAATAACTATCAACAGTAGAGTTATGAAAATTCCTATGAATCACAACTGGCTGACATGTAATTCCAAAATGATTCCTAGCTAGTAAATTTTTCTTGACCTGCATCTGAGGGCAGGAGGATTGCAGTTCCCGGCCAGACTGGATAAAAAAGTTTGTGAGACCCCTTCTCAACAAAAAAGCTGGGCATGGTGGTGTTATGCCTGTCATTCCCACTACACAGGAAGCGTAAGATAGTACTGTGGTCTGTGCCTGGCTGGACAACAAAGTCTGATCCTATCTCAAAAATAACCAGAAAAAAAGGGCTGAGATATGGCTCAAGGGGTAGAGCACCTGACTAGCAAGCATGAGGTTCTTAGTTCAAAGCCTGGTACAAGAAATGTGTGAAGCTGCTGTTAACATACACAGAACACTTTTTACCCAGGCTAGCATGGACTGCAATCCTCCTACTTACACTGGGATACACACAGACATGTGCCACAACACCTGGCTTGTTTGTTGAGATGGGCTCTCACTAACTTTTTGCATGGGCTGCATCCTCTCAATCTTTGCCTCCCAAGTAGCTAGGATTACAGAGGTTAGGCAATGCGTCCAGCCTACAATAATTTTTTGAATAAATGGAAGTACACTCTAAAATAACAATCAAGGGCTGGCAATGTGACTCAAGCAGTAGAGCATTTGCCTAGCAAACACAAGGCCCTAAGTTCAGACCCCAGTAAAGCAAAGAAAAAAATTGCTTTCCTTTTTTTAGTAAGAGACAGTCAGAAGGAAAAAAAATGTTTTAAGTAAAATAATAATCAAAAGTTCAGTGGAGCAAATATTTAAGCCCATAGCACAGTCATTCATCATCAATATCAAGTTTTATGTACTGCAAAATTGTTACACTTTTATCTGATTGCTAGTACAGTAGGTTCATTTATACATGCATCAGTTTGCAGTGGCACTTTGCTGTGACTTTACCAGAGTTATGACATCACTGGGTGATAGAAAGTTTTAAGTTCCAATATACTCTCATGGGACCACCATTCCATATGTGGTCCATCATTGATATAAACATTGTTGGGTGGCATGAGTGTATATGACAGTTTTATTGCATAGACTACTATATAGAAGTTTTAAATTACAGTTTTGGAGAATAAACTGTGAGAAACTACTCACCGTAAAATGTGGAGTGAGAATGTAAAAATAGATATGTATCTTGATATATAAAACTTCTTTCCAGTTCTTTGTTTAATATATTCATTAATTCACACAAACTTTTCAAAGTCTTTAATATGTATGAGAGCTTTCTGTTTTTCTCACTGCATTGGAGTATGTTTTTTTAATATGAGCATTATTAGTTACATATTTGGAAAATGAAAAAAATGCAATCTAGTGTTTCTTAGTTTGAATCATTAAATTCCTAGACTGCTGTATCCTATCAATTTTATTCAGGAGTTATAAAAAACTGGTATTAAATAAATCAATCTCTCACAATGTAGAAAAGTAAATAACCTTATACTTTAAATCCCATAAAAGAGCAGGTAATGTATTTATTGTGCACAATGATTTTGCATGAGGGTCACTTATGTACAGCATATTCATTTAGCCTATAAATTTTAGTTGTGTTTTATCATAAATTGCATGTACGGTATGAAATGTAGAACACTTAATCATTGGTAATTGAGTTCGCCTCTCTGAATGTAGCATAACATCATATCGACTAGCCTATTCCCGACTTTCCACTTTAACTCAGCATCCAGTTCATCTTTACAAATGCTTTATAACTAACAAAAACGTTTAAAAAAAAAATTCCAGATCTCAGCTGTACTCAGTCCTCGGGTGTTTTTAAAAATATATCCACTGCGGTTTCCCCAACTCAAAGGCACCATAAGGTCTTCAGCTATTATGGTCTGAAGGCAGATTTCCCTTCTCTCTGATCCCCTTCCATGTTCTCTTCAGTCATCGGGTCACTTTTGTTTCTCTTCCATCACCCTCTCTCAATTGAATTACAAAACCCAACTACAAAACCCAACTCAAAAAGGTGTCCGTCTAAGGCACTTTCCACCGTGAAGTGCATTAAGCAGACACACTCCTCCCTCCATGGCATAAGCAAAACCCGGTTTTTTGATTGTTTGTTTTTGTTTTGTTTTGTTTCTTGACAAGGAGGCGAGTCCTAATCTAAGACCCCTCCTGTCTGCCCTTTCAGGGCCAGGTCTGCAGCACACGCAGGTCTGATCACTAGTCACCGCCTCACTTTTGTCCCGTTCCTCGCCACCGCGGATGCCCCATCCCCACCCGCCTGCCGTCTGTCCTGCTGGCTCTTCCTCGGGGTGCTGGCGCGCGGGCAGCACCAGCTCTTGGACGGCGCCCTCGTGTCTCCGCGCCGCTGAGCCCGCTGCTAAGTGCCTCTTGCGCGCGGCTGTTTGTCACTGCCCGCTTTCCCCTCCCTCTAGTGACATTCCCAGTGACACTCTCTGTAAAATCAAGTTACAAATGTGAAGTTCGAACTTCAGGCTCCAGCTACCACGCGGCCAGGACGCTCAGCCGGTAGCCAATGAAATCGCCAACTCGCTGCCAGGCCCTCCTTCTGATTGGTCGACGGCCCTAGAACAACCAATGGGAGGCGCGGAAAGGTGGGCGGAGGGGAAGCTCTCACCTGCGGGTGGCGCAGCATCCAGAGCCCGCTTTTCCTGACTCAAAGCCATTCTCTGAAAGGACGTCTGCCCGCAAACGTCGATCACTGTGCGAGCAAATTCGCGGCCGCAGACTTTAATAACTTCCATCAACCACGCGTCCCGGACGCGCGCGCTGGAAGGTTGGCTCAGCACCAGCCAAAATCCTAGGAGCTGGACCAAGAACATGCGCGACATCCTGAACCTGGTCTCCACTGCTCTGTCTGGGCTTTCCAGCCTTGCTCTGGGACAGCTGCTGCTGTGGCTTATGGCCCCTGCCTGTGCCTGTGTGTCCCCCGCGGGTTAAGGTGGCCTTCCCCACCAGGCGGTTATATCCACTGGGCTATCGCTGGGTCAATGGCTCCACCCCTTTCCCACCCACCTCCATGGTATTTTCTTCCTCAGCCCTTGTTCACCTTACCCATTTTTCCTTCATTACTCCACCCTCTTGCCCTTGGCCCCTTTCCAGTTGTTTTTCTCTTTTCTTACCCTCAAGTCATTTGTATACTGAAGTTACTCTGTATTGCAGTCTTTCGTTTTTGTTACAGAGTAAAGCATGGCCATTACCCTAAATTACATCAACAAAAATAAAGTCATCTATCTTCTTACAACCGAAAGTCTCCCAGCACTACATTTGCCACATAACCTTCTACCCTAAATAAGACTATACTTAGATTAAATACTGCCGTGTCTGGTATAGATATCAAATATATATATATATATATATACATACATACACATATATATTTATAATGGATGCATGGATAAATTGTTGAAGAGAGAGAAAATTGATGATCTTTAACCTGAATCCTGAGCCAATAAATACTCTTTCTTGCTGAAGTTAAAAAAATAAATAAATAAAAATTAAAATTAAAATTAAAATTCCTAGAAAAACCACTTTCGTGTTGTACTCTAATGTCTATAATATCTAACACACCTCCATTGAACTTTCCTTCTACTCTTCTGGGAGGTAGTTTGATTATAATCAGTTTTCTGAATATTTAAATGTGAGATTAAATGAAATGGAAAAAAAAGTCAGGATTCTTTGAGCACTTTACCCATGATCTATGAGGCACCATATAGAGGAACTGGAGAAAGGACAGGTCTTTAATAAATGATGCTGGGAAAATTAGCTGTCCACATGCAGAAGAATGAAACTTGACCCCTGTCTCTCATCCTATACAAAAATCAACACAAAGTGTACCAAAGGCCTAAAACTGGACCTGGAACTATGAAACTACTAGAATAAAACATAGGGGGAATCCCTCAAGGCATCAATATAAGCAATGATTTTGGGGGATTATGATCTCAAAGTCATAGGAAACAAGCAAGAATAGACAAGTGGAATTATATCAAACTAAGAAGTTTCTTCACAGAAAAGAAAACAATCAATGGAGTGAAGAGACAACCGACAAGATGAGAGAAAATATTTGGAAATATTGATCTGATGAGGGATTAATATCCAGAATATACAAGCAATTCAAAAAATACAACAAAATAATCCAATTAAAAATGAGCAAATGAAGGCTGGCAGAGTGACTCAAAGAAGTTGAGCACCTGGCTAATAAGCATTAAGCCCTGAGTTCAAACCCCAGTACTGCCAAAAAAAAAAAAGAGCAAATAATCTTAATAGACATTTCTCAAAATAAGAAATTTAAATGGCCACAAATGTATAAAATGGTCAGTATCATTACCCATCAGGAAAACACAAATGAGAACTACAATGAAATATAATCTCAACTCGGTTAGAATAGCTATTATAAAAAAGACAAAAAATAATAAATGCTGACAAGGATATGAAGAAAAAGAAACTCTTAGACCTTGTTGGTGGGTATGTAAATTACTATAACCACTATTGAAATACCATGGAATTTCAGTTTCCTCAAAAAACTACAAGTAGATTTACCATGTCATCCAACTGTTCTACTGTGGGAATATATTCAGTGGAGAGAAAATCAGCCTACAAAAGAGATACCTGCATTCCTATGACTATGAAGGGACTATTGACAATATGCAAAATATGTCATGATGGCCAAGAAATCAACCTTCATGTCCACTAACAGATGAATGAAGTAAATGTGGTGTATATACACAAAAGAATGTTGCTCACCCATAAAGAAGAATGAAACCCTTTCATCTGCAGCAAAATGGATGGAACTGGAAGGTATTATGTTATGTGAAATAAACCAGACACAGAAGGACAAGAACCACATGTTCTGTCACATAAGGTAGCTTTAAAAAAAAGGCCATGATGCTCAATAGCAATTACCAGAGTCTGGGGAGGTGGGGAGAAGGTAAAGAGAGACTGGGTAACTGGTACCAAAACACAGAGGAAATAAGTTCAAGCATTCCACAGTGCAGTAGGGTGGCCGTGGTTCACAATAATCTACTACTATATTTTATAAGCATGTAGAAGGCACTGCAGTACTCTGAGCATAAAGAAATGATATGGAGAGGGAAATACTAGTTACACTGATTTGATCAGTGCATATTCTGTTCACGATATTCACTTATCACACAGTGCCCTATAAATATGCATGATGTACAACATTTCATGGTAACTAAAAAATTTTAAATGCATCTCTCTCTTTTTCTCAATAGATTACATTCTCTGTGAATAACAAGAAACTCTAAACTGACTGATAAGGGTCTGTGGAATAAACATCCAACTCTGCTCAGCTTCTGAATGAGGCCAGCAGGCTCCTCCACCTTTTCCGTCAGCCGTGATTAGCATCTAGTCCTATATACTCCTGACCTCATGGGACCAAATGGCTACTTCACCTCCCTTTCTTGGTGTCTCTTTCAGGCAGTAATAGAAGAGGAAGCAAGAAGTCTTAGTGATTGAGTCAGGAAAGCAAAATCTTTGCCAGAATGTTTATGTTGTGCATGGGTTCCACTGGACAGAACTGTGAACACATAATATTGGTACCTGCAAGAGACACTGGAAAATCAGGACTAGCACTTAACAGCCTCAGAAGCCAAAACTTTTGTGGCTCCAGTGATTCTTTCAGAGATACTCATCTGTATCTTTTAACCTTTACTACTCAAATTAACTCCAACTGGAACTGAATGAAGGGATACAGTGTTACCAAAAAACCTGGCTTTGGAATCTACTACACATGGGTTGGAATCTCAGCTCCAGCATTTGCCAGGTATATGCACCAATACATGAACCTTTTCTATTTAAAAATGTTTGGTTTTTGATTGATTGTCTTGTTCTTGAAGGCATTAAATGTCTTTTATTTGTGCCTGTAGAGGCTGTGGCTTCTACATTTGCTTGCAAGTGTTAACAGTGGGGTAAGCCCACTTCTGCAACAAGCACTGAACATGTATGCAATCCCTCTGAATTTTTTTGTTTCTATAACACGGAAAAGTGGCCACTTCGCAACAGTTTGAAGACTCTATAAAACCACACAGCAAAGTAAAAAATTAATGGATCCCTGAAAATTTACATTTTTCAACAAGACAAAGTAATGGATTATTTTTACCAGGAATGTTAACCTACCAAATAAGCTTCAATTTTGAGAAGCTTCTGAAATTGCTACTCTCAATGAAAACCCTTTTTAAAACAATGCCTTTAACTATGACACAGCTTTGCTTAGATTTTTGAACAGATTCATAATGCTTTAGCATTTGACTGATACTGACTTGACTCTTTGAATTTAGCAGCAATCTAGAAATTAGAATTATTTTACTCCATAGCTGTACTTTAACTGAGCTAATTGGAGTAGATAACGAACACAACAAAGAAATCATTGACATAAATGAAACTAATTGCAACTAAAAATTTCCTGCGTATCTAGAAGGGTTGTTTAATGAGCATATTATCTCAGACTCTGTTGAATTCTTAAAAGATGCATTAGAAAGTGTTAAAAATCAGTAAACATAGATTACATTAAAAATATATATTTTTTTTTTGCTGCAACAGATTCCATTGCTTGTTTTTGTTTGTTTTGGTTTTAGTTTTTTGTCTCTCCCTCCATCTTTCTTCCCCTTTCTCACTGCCCCCCTCAGTCTCTTGAGATATTTCTAGTAGTCGTTGGTAGACGTCTTAAGTCTATGTCCAGGGAAGAGCAGTGGGTTAGCATTGCAGAGAAGTGCTTTGTATCAGGAAAGTGCATGCTGTTACCTGTTTCCTGTTCATAAGTTGAGCCATATGCACATAGACTAGATGTTTTCATAGTTCTGTACTTTTATGCCTATTTTTGAAGATTAACACATTTATAAGATGATTGACTCAATTTTGCTTAATCCAGTGAGTGTTACAGAAAGCTTGCTGTGACTACAAATGTAAATCTTAAAAGGGGAAATATTATAATAATAGAGACCTGAAGTTCAAACTTGTATTTAAAAAATCACCAAATCTATGTGCAAAAAAGTCAATATGCATTACACTAAAATTTGGGGATTTCAGATCTCTCCAACTATATTTCTGAATGCATAAAAATATCAGTTTTTAAAAACAGCCCTTTATACTTCAAAATGTTTTTTGTCCATTGGTATTAACTATTGGGATACTACTGGCTTTGTATGTTTTATTTTTCCTTTGAGACAATAGTACAAATATTAGAGGTACAACTTGTTGGATTTTTGTTTATGTATTTCATTCCAGTTTGATTTGTTTTAATTGTTGATACTTGTCAAACAGTAGACATTTTATTTATGATATATTTCATCTTAAAGTTATGTTATATGCAGATGTAAATAGAGATTTTGTGTTTTGCAAAAAAAAAAAAAGAATCAGTTGGCTATAGATTTGTGGGTTTATTTCTAGGATATCTATTCTATACCTATTCAGTTGGTCTATGTTTATGTTTTTATGCAGTACCATGCTATTTTGGTTACTACAGCTCTGTAATATACCTTGTATCTGATATTGTCTGTACCTTTGTTGTTTTTGTTGATGATTACCTTGGCTATTTGTGCTTCCATATGAATTTTAGGATTATTTTTTCGAGTTCTGTGAAGAACACCATTGGTATTGTGATGGGGATTGCATTGAATCTGAAAATCACTTTGGGTAGTACAGATATTTTAACAATATTAATTCTTCCAATCCATGAACATGAAGAATCTTTACATTTTTGGCATCTCCAATTTCTTTCTTCTGCATTTTGTCATTTTCATTGTAGAAATCTTTTACTTCTTTGGTGAGTTTGATACCTAAGTTTTTGTTTTTGTTATTGATGTGAATAGAA